AAACTACCTAAGAATACCTGACAGTTCGTAAGCATCCCTGCCGCATCCTAGACATGGCCTGCACACCGAGTCCTAGAAATTGCTAAGAAATGCCTGAAAAACAGGCTCCATCCCTACCATGGCCATGATGCGTCCCGGACATGGCCTGTACATCGGGTCCCATAAATTGCCAATAAATGCCTGAAAATCGGGCTGCGTCCCTACTGCGACTAGGACGCATTCTGGACATGGCCTGCACACCATGTCCCTAAACTACCTACAAATGCCTGAAAATCAGGCGGCGTCCCCACCGTGGTCAGAACACGTCCCAGACGTGGCCTGCACACCATGCCTAAAAACTTCCCAAAAATACCTGAAAATCAGGCTGTGTCCCTGTCGTCGCCCAGAGGCATCCCATTCATGGCCTACACACCGTGTCCCAGAAATTGCCTAGAAATACCTGAAAATCAAGCTACGTCCTTGACGCGTGGTGGACGTGGCTTGTACTCTGTGTACCAGAAATTGCCTAGAAATGGTTAGAAATTAGGTTGCATCCCTGTTGCGGCCCAGACGCATCCCGTACATTGCCTTAGCACTGTGTACCAGAAAAGTGTCTAGAAATACCCAAAAATTAGGATACGTCCCTACCGTATCTTGGACATAGCTTACAAACTGTGACCCAGAAACTATCTGGAACTGCCAAAAAATAGGTAGCGTCCCTACCGTGGCCAGGACATGGCTTGCACGCCGTGTCCCAGAAACTGCGTAGAAATGCCTAGAAATAAGGCTGCATCCCCATCGCGGCCCAGACGAGTCCCGAACATGGCCTGTGCACCTCGTCTTAGAAGTTGCCTAGAATATCATGAAAATCAGGCTACATCCCTACCTATCTTGGACATTGCCAGCACACTGTGTCCTAGAAGCTCCCTAGAAATGCCAAGAAATTAAGTTGCATTCCTACCACGATCAGGATGAGTCCCAAACATGGTCTACGTATCGTGTCCAAAAATTGACCTAAAATACCTAAAAATCAAGCTCCGTCCCTATCGTGGCTCGGTTGCGTTCTGAACATAGCTTGCACACCATGACGTAGAAACTGCTTAGAAATGCCTAAAAATCAAGCTACGTCCATGTCGCATCCAGAATGCGTCCCGGACATGGCCTGCACATAGTGCCCAAAAACTATCAAATTATGCCTATAAATGAGGCTGCGTCCCATCAGTGGCCATGACTTGTCCCAAATTTGGCCTACACACCGTGTCTCAAAAACTACCCAAAATGCCCAGGAACATGCCTGCGCCCCTAACAAGACCTGCACACCGTGCTTCCTTCATTTGTCTAAAAATCTGATAACGTCCCGAACGTGGTCAGGACGCGTCCCGAACATTACCTGCACACCGTGCCCTCAAACTGCCTAGAAATGCCTGAAAATCAGATTGCGTCCATGGCCAGGACGCGTCTCAGACATGGCCTACACATCGTGCCCATAAACTGCCTAGAAATGCCTAAAAATCAGATTGCGTCCGCGACTAGGACGAGTCTCGAACAAGGCCTACACACCGTGTCCCAGAAACTGATTAGAAATGCCTAAAAATAAGGCTGCGTCCTAGACATGTCCTGCACACCGAGTCCCAGAAACCCTAAAGCCCAAGCCCTAAACCTTAACCCTAAGCCCTAGACCCTGGACCCTAAACCCTAGACCATTTTCCTTCTAATGAAGTAAATTAGTTTTCGATTTTTTTTCAAATGGCATAACCAGTAATTAAACAATCGGAGAGCTAAGCTTCATGGAAGGACTTCAACATGAAAAAAAAACTTCAGGTAAAATTCTTTCAATAAGTGTGATACCTGCACCCGTCAATCCTGATCAGAAGGAGAAGAGAGAGAATAGTTCTTCTTCCCGATATCAGATAAAAGGCCAGTGGATAGAGGAAGAAAACAGGAGACTAATTGGCTTAGTATATCAATTTGGATTGAGGAAATGGGCTATAATAGCTGAAGAAATGGTTGGTAGAGTGGGAAAACAGTGCCGCGAGCGATGGAATAATCATCTGCATCCTCATATCAAGAAGGACGTTTGGACTGAAGATGAAGAGAGACAGTTAATTCAAGTACATGAAAGACTTGGAAATCAATGGCCAGAGATAGCTAAGTACATTCCTGGAAGAACTAAAAATTCAGTAAAGAATCATTGGAATGCCACAAAAAGGAGGCAGATTTCAAGGAGAAATATAAAAAAAAGTAAAAGGAGATAGAAGATAGTTAACACTATTATAAAATTACATCATAAAAAGTATTTCAGTAATGGTTCCACCTCCACTAACTCAAATTCCGGTACCACTACCACTGCAGCAAATCCGTCCAACGTCGGCACACCACTCTCTAATGATGAAGACTCTACGCCATTTTTCAATTTCGAATCATGTAATGACGAAATGGATTTCATGAAAACCCTGTTTGAAAACAATTAGTCCATCGATTCAATTCCAGTCGATCATTGTCAACCAATGAATCCAGCTGAACGGACATCTGAGAATGCTTATAGCTTCAATGTTGATGAAAATTATAATCATCCCACCATTTTCT